TCAATTACACCTCAATAAAAAATAAAAAAATAAAAACTTAAATCCTACAGATCCATTAAAATGAAGCAGGGTTGTCTGGTTAACCCAGGACACAGAGAAGGGGGACCATGTTTACAAAGAATCTCCCTTGTCCCAGAACTCCTCTTCTCCTCCCAAGCCCCTCAGGAGTCCAACGCCCCAGCATTCTGGCTCTTTACCAAGCCCCAGAACCTCCCAGTCCTCACAGATGCACCAATACTCAAAGATAGCTCTTTTCCTTTCACTTTCGCTCTCCAAATTATTCCATCGGCTCGGTCCGGTCAGTGCCCCTACCCACCTTCGTCTTTACCGCTGATCTCACCCGTTCTGGAAAGCCCCCGCCTTCCCTTGGCCCAGCTAAACCCCTGGGCACCCGCACCTGACCTTGGGACTCTCTCTAGACACCACACCTCTTACTCTCGGCTGTCTCCTCAGCACCTGTCCCCTCTGTGCTCTCTTCTAGACCCTCCTAACTCCCATCTCTGTAGAGAAAAAAAAAGAAAAAGAAAACGTTGCATGCCATTCCAGTTCTACAAGAATCAAGCTATTAGCCACTGCAGATCCACCTACAGTGGATCTGAGGGGACCTCAGGATGGAGAAAAACAGGATGAAGTATTCTGTTTTGGATACACGGGTCCTAGACTGGCAAGATGCATACCTAAGGAAGAATTTCAATAACCCCAGATTCTTGCGTCTTCCCATACAAAGTACTAAAATTATGAACTTCAGATGTCTGTTCTTTATGATGAGCAGTAATCTTTTGATGTTTGACTACATGTTTTTTTCCCAGCAAAAAATTCATCCATAAACCTGGCTCCTACCTCACCTCTTCGAACAATTTCTCAGAACTGAGAAACTGGCTCCCCCCGCTACGGCCTTCAGTAAGACACTGAATAAACTCACAGTTCTTACAGTTGTGCGTTTTTGTTTGTAATCGACACCCCCAGGGGATCTTGGAGACCGCATCACCGCCATTCTCTGTGGCAACCCATTCTTCAAGACTCTCTAGACACCACCACCACTCCTCCCTCCCCGCCCATCTACACGCTCGCTGCCTGGGTCCCTGCAGCTCTCAACCCCACTTCTCAGGCCTCTTGGAGACCCCACCTCCACAGACCCCTTCAGACAGCCTACTCTCCCTCTTCGGGGCTGTAGAGACCCTGCCCCTCTACACATCACCACCTGCTCCGGACACTAGGAAGCGCCCGTTCCCTGGCCGGGCCCGTCTTGGCGTTCCGCGCCCGGGCCCTCCCCGTCTTCCCGCTACCTCCCTACCGCCGCGCCCCATTTACCACTGGCCGCAAGCAGAAGCGTCAGGACCAGCGGCAGCGCCAGCCCTCCGGGAACCTGGATGGCCGGCCTGGGCCGCAGTTTCGCTTGCTGGGCGCCCCTCATCCTCCTCAGGGTGGCGGCGGCCATAACGGTCTCGGCTGCGAGCTTGCGCGGTTGCTAGGCTCTACGTCATGACGTCAGACACTGCGTATGGCATCGCGGCCGTAGGCCCAACGTGATGACGTGTCAGCCTGGAGTGGGGTTCTGGGAGCAGGAAATGAGGGAGAGGGATCGCGGGAATTGGGGCAAAGGGAAGCACCAGAAACTCAGCTGCAAGATAAGGATGTATTGTGTAAGGTGTGAAGAGAGTCAGAACGAGCCCCTTCTTCCCACGTGATGGGCTAGTATACAGCTAATAACTTTTAGAACATTTTTAGAAGGAATATCCATCTGTGTAATAGTCTGATCCCAAAAGAGAAGTAACTGCCCTCCCCCTCCCAAAGGCAAAGGGGGACTTCACTGGTGGCGCAGTGGTTAAGAATCCGCCTGCCAATTATAGGGTACACGGGTTTGAGCCCTGGTCCAGGAAGATCCCGCATGGCACGAAGCAACTAAACCCCTGTGCCACAACTAGTGAGCCTGCGTTCTAGAGCCCATGAGCCACAAATACTGAAGCCCACGCGCAGGGAGCCTGTGCTTCACAAGAGAAACCACCGCAATGAGAATCCTGAGCACCACAACAGAGTAGCCCCTGCTCGCCGCAACTAGAGAAAGCCCGTGCGCAGCAGCAAAGACCCAATGCAACCAAAAATTTAAAAAGGCAAAGGAAATAAATGTTGAGTGGGTGGTGGACTTTTAGGTTAAGTGTTCTGTTTTTAACATTTCCCCATAATCATTCATTACTTCAACAAATACTTAGTACCTCTAGTATATTTCAATATACAGCACTGAACAAAACACTTTTGTGGAATTTATTTTTCTGTGAGGGAGACTATAGTGTACAATACATACTATATACAATGGTAAAGGTATTTTGGAGGAGAAGCAGGGAAGTGGGCTAGGAAAGAGGTGTGCAAACAGCTTCCACACTTCCTACAATAAGCTTCTTTTAAATGTTGTTAACTTAAACCCCCCAGAATATGAAAATGCAAATTTAGAAACTTCCAGGAAGTTCCCTTAGGGCCCTAGCCACAATGCTTTGGTCTGTGTGTTCCGTGAATATTTTCTTAACGTCTATAGGCTTCAGCTTGTGAAATTACATTTGGTTGATTTGCAGGAAACTCAGCGTGGCATGAAGCAAGACATTTATTTTACCCCACAGCTTCACCACTCTGGTCTCCATGATTTCCTCAGAGGATCGCTGCTATCCCCCAGAGACAGTTGAGCTGCCTCTTTGAAAAGAGAAAAGCCTGTGTTCTCCTCAATCTGGTTTCCCTTAACATTTTATCTGGCACTAGTGACCGCTCAAAAACACAAACTCTGTGTTGTTAAGAAAACTAAGAGGTCATTCATCTATTCATTTCCTTAAGCCCACCACAAGCCCAGATAGACTGAATGGTGCACTTATTGCAAAACTTCCAGGGTAGCCAGGGTACAAAGTCCTCCCAAGTTCCCCTGGAGCTTTCCCTCTGTGAGTACAGAAACTATCACTCAGTTTAACGAATAAGCCTCTCAGTTCTAGCTTCTGCATGTTGGGAGATTCAGACTTAATCAGGTCTTTTTCCTGTAATAAACACACCTTCAATCCTCTCTTCTTTGTCCACTTTGTTCCTTTGGCCCCATACCAGATTATTTCAATTCTCTTACTGGTGAGATATCATGAACTCAAGGCATTTTGCACAATACTCTGACATGCAACAACCAGAAAATATGTAAATGGGAGGAAAATATTCCCTCAGAGGGCCCTTTGTACATTTCAAAATACCAATACTGCACCTGGCTTCTGACTGGATGTACCCAACAACCATTATGCACCAAAATCTCTGGACACATTTAAAAAAGTGAACTTTGAAATAGCTGCGGGTCCTTATGAACCTGATGAAGACAGTATAACAAATACTGAGGCCAGCAGGTTTGGGGTGACCAGTTACACAAAATGCTGGAAGTAAATCTGATACCTGTTGGGAATTATCACTTCCAAACATCCATAAAAAGGAATTCTGCCTAAAAATTTTTATCATTGAATAGAAAAAAATATCTAGGGCTTCCCTGGTGGCGCAGTGGTTGAGAGTCCGCCTGCTGATGCAGGGGACACGCGTTCGTGCCCCGGTCCAGGAAGATCCCACATGCCGCAGAGCGGCTGGGCCCATGAGCCATGGCCGCTAAGCCTGCGCGTCCGGAGCCTGTGCTCCGCAATGGGAGAGGCCACAACAGTGAGAGGCCCACGTACCGCAAAAAAATAAATAAATAAAAAAATAAAAAAGTCTACATTTGATGATGCTGGATAATGTATATGCAGAGTTGTTACTATTCTACTGATACTTTGTAAACGTTTGAAATCTGTTATTTTTTTTAATATATATGGCAGAATTCTGAAACCATATCCAATGACCCATGCCTTTATATGATCCCCTGCCCTTGAGTGTGGGAGGAATCTGTGAATATGATGGGATATCACTCCTGTGATTAGGTTATGATGTGTGGACAGTTGACTTTAATGGGAGATTATCCTCAGTGGACCTGACCTAATCAGGTGAGCCCTTAAAAGGACAGGAATGCTTATAAAATAAATAAGTTATGGGGATGTAATATACAGCATAGTGACCATAATTAATTGTACTACATTATATATTTGAAAGTTGCAAAGAGAGTAGATCTTAAAAGTTCTTAACCCAGGCTTCCCTGGTGGCGCAGTGGTTGAGGGGCCGCCTGCTGATGCAAGGGACACGGGTTTGTGCCCTGGTCCGGGAGGATCCCACATGCCGTAGAGCTGCTAGGCCCATGAGCCATGGCCGCTGGGCCTGCGCATCCGGAGTCTGTGCTCCACAACAGGAGAGGCCACAACATTGAGAGGCCCACGTACCGCAAAAAAAAAAAAAAAAAGTTCTTATCCCAAGAAAAAAACAATTCTGTACAGTGATGGATGTTAACTGGGCTTATTGTAGTGATCATTTCACAATATATCAAACATCAAATCATTATGTTGTACACCTGAAACTAATATAATGTTATAGGCCAATTATATCTTAATTTTAAAAACAAATTTTTTAAAAATTATAAAGGTGTTTGGGCTCTTCTGGAGGATGTTTGAAGTAGGGAAGGATTTGACAGTGAAATTTTTCTGTTCCAGCTCTGAAGATGGAGGACACCACAGGGCAAGGAATGCAGGTGGCCTCTATTTGCTGAAAGTGGCCCCTAGCTGATGGCCAGCAAGGAAGTAGAAACCACTATCTTACAACTAAAGGTAACTGAGTTCTGCCACAGCCATATGAGCCTGGAAGAGGACCCCAAACTTCAGATGAGAACACAGTCCGGCTGACATCCTAATTTCAGCATTGTGAGAAACTTAAGAGAGCCCAGGCACCCGGTGCTTGGACCTCAGACAGACAGACCTGTGAAATAATTAAGTGTTGTTTTAAGCCACTAAATTTGTGGTAATTTGTTATGCAGCAATAGAAAACTAAAAATATCACACACACACACACACACACACACACACACACACACAGCCACAGCAAGGGGCCAAAGAACAAGACCAAACATATGTCCTGTTTATTTACACTTCTATTAATAAAGACAACAAAAGAAGGATAAGGTTTCAATATTTTATTCAAGTTTTAAGTCATGTTAATTACAGCATTTGAAGGGGAGGAACTAATTCCACACAAAATGGAAGACTCTAAAATGTACCTATTAAACTGCTAAAAAATAAACTGAGTGGCGTGAATACAACAGAAGTTCAATTTAGATTCTGAGTGTTGTCACCATGTGATTACAGTCACAGAGACTCTTCCCAGCTTGCAGCTGGAGCTCTTAGAAGCTATTTCATACTCTGGTGCAAGGGCAAAAAAACACAACATGAGAAAAAACACAGTTAAGTCCTGAATTATTGGCTTCATCACATCCACCTTCTCCACCCCAAAATGGCACAAAAGAAACAGCTACCACGCCCTGCAGACTACTTTTGGTGTAAAAGAGGTGATGGATTGGGGTGGAAAAAGTCCCTGACTAAAAAAGTCCCTTTCAGATGAGTTTGTATATACCATCAAACAGCCTCTCCTCAATCAGGGTAGGAAACCAAGGTTCAATTCTCAGGAAGTCACAATTTCATTCATTTACTCAATACGAATTTACAAATTACAAAGTGCCTGCAAATTATCAACTTCCACTTGCAGCCATTTCTAGGTAAAAAAGAAACCTGACATCTTTAGAGGGGCCAGCAAGCTCCCCCTCAAGTCTACAGCTAAAAGGACCTTTTTTGAAATTGGGTTTCTTCTGTACCTCTGAAAGGGTAACACCCTGAAGCTGAATCATCTTTAACCTGGAAGTCTAACATGATATTTAGCGATACTTGCATCCCAGACATACAACATTAAAAGGTACACTAAATTCTGAAGGTAGCTATGCTGCAAAATAGTTTAAAATTAAACGATTGTACAGTATTCATTTATGCTTGAAACTCCAGTCCTAGACCAAGCTTGTGGCCACCAGCGTTGACATTCTTGCCATCCAGCAGAGCTGACAGTGTCAGTTTGATACCTGCAGGGGGAGAAGTCAGGGAGAGGAAGGGAGGAGAGAGGGAGGAAAGAAAAGAAAGGTTAGCAAATGGAGGATGGCTGAAGCACACTGGTGACACCACACCAGATTCAGAACCGTTCCAGCTGAGTGTGATCAGCAGGGGCAAAACCACAGGCCCTTGAATCCCTGTTACTCAGCACTGTCCGACTAATGACTGGGTAGCCGAGGATGAGCTTGTGCAACAATAATGACGACTCCGTAGCTCACTCAAATCCACTTTCCTTCATCCTCTCATCATCCCCGCTACAAAATCCATGCAGAAAACTTCTTTAGCAAAAGCCCCTTGAAATGAAACCCCAACCATGAATCAGACTCCACTGTCTTACACTCCCAATCACAGCATGCACACAAATGCAAACACACACACACACACACACACACACACACACACACACAACTAAATGCTATTTTCTCTAGAATAGCTTGATTCTGCCATCATGTAACCTTAGATTTCCAGGGTTCAAAGCCCCAGTCTGACCAAACTAACCCCAAGCGGGTATTATTTCCTGTAGCTGTAACATACTATGGACTGGCCTAGCTAACTGTGCAGAGGAAACCTACAAACCAGTTTTACAATGGGGATGACTTATAGGCTGGTTTTAAGAACCTGCTGGAAATAAGTATCAAGCATTAGGCACACACTGGGAAAAAGAATGGAAGAAAATAACGAAAAATGTAATACATGTTAGCCTTGGCCTTTTTTCTCCTACTTACTACTTCTATTCGCCAACTGTTTTATAATGACTGCACTCCTTTACAAACAATCAACTGTAAAACTTTACACACACTCATTTACAATGCACTACACAGTCATTTTATAAGCAATAACATAAAGCAGCAAACCAGCACCACATCTTTTTTAAGACAAAGAACTAATTTCACACAACCGACACATACCTGGCTTTAGGGTCTGAGTATATCCTAACCCTATCAGGCTGGAGTTGTTCACTTTGGCCTAGTCAAGGAACAGATAAGAGAGTGAAAATGTTAAGTACTTCACATTTCTGTCTCCAAACTGAATAAGAGCTTTTTAATCAACCAACTCTGGACTTCAGTATCAAATTCTCTTTTTTCATGACCACTTTGTTTATAGGATTCATTAAACTCAATATGAAATATATCAAATTTAGGAACTAGGTCTCAGAAGGGTAACGCAAAGAACCAACACAATTTTCAAGTAAAAGAAAGTGATTATTTACATTTGATTCCTTACAGTATGTGTGCCCAATTCCATTTATACATAGTCGGTCTGTATTTTTAAGTTATAACAGGTGAGGACACCTTCATTTATGGCCAGAGACATAAAAGACTTTCTTGTATTTGTTGGGATAAAGAAAAACAGACCAAATGTCAGATGGGGTTTTTAAGCGTTTTTTTTAAATAACAGAACATTGTTCGAATTTTTTCTTCATGAGAAAGAGAAGCAAAAATCAAAAAAATTTGGCACTGACAAGCCTGAATTTTTGGAGCAAAACAATAACCTAGACAATCACTTAAATCTCAGCACTTACTGAATGCTGATTAATAATTAATCAATAAAGCAGTTGAGTCGATACTAATTTTGCCCTTATTCTTCTGCCTGAGTTGTAGGGAAATCTGGGCCTCTCCCTGACCCCTTTCTGGGGAAATAAGGAGAGGTCAGGAGCAGAGCAAGCTCAAGCTGTGAGAACACCTGGCAAAAGCTAGAGCTACCAGGGTGTGTGTTTTCCTGCTCACGTGCTGTTTTTAGACCCAGCATCTCCCACAGGAGAAAACAGGAAGGTAGGCCTCCAGGCAGTCAGTGCCCCATCTAGATGTTCCATTTTGCCCATGCCCTCCAAATAATAAGGCCCCTTTTCCTTTGTTTTAAAGTGCCTAACATTAAGGAAGCCCAATTCAGTTCCTATTTCAGAAGACTTATAATAGGCTGTCTGTAAATTACACAAGTCAGCCCAGAAACGATCCTGCAACATGAGATTTCCTCATTCCACCCCAAAAAGGATACAGCCGGCAGTGTCCTGTGACAACAGAGATGAGCTCAACAAGATTTAATGCAAAAACTGTGCAGCAACGCAAGGGTCCATTAGCTATGCTACAGGGTCTGCAAGATAAGATGCCAACCACCCAATGCCAGGGTCTGATTTCTTAATATGCAGTACAGGAGCTGGGCAAGAGAATGAAAACTGAGGGGGAAAGGAACATTTAAAACCTTCAGGTTCAAGGTAAGCCCCTTTACAGTCTGCAGCATGGACCAGGGACTGGTTAGAGAAGGAGGCTCCATAGCAAGGCAGTCTGGGTCAAACACAAACCCCAGCACTTACCAGCTGCCTGCCCTTGGGCAAGTTACTCAACCACTCTAAGCTTTCAGTTCCTCATTTGTGAAAACATGGATGGGATAATTAAAAAAAAAAAAAAAAAAGGCACCTATCTCAAATGGGTTGTATAAGAATTAAATACAGTAATCCACATATAATGGTCTCCATACAGCGCCTGGCAGCCATAGTAAATACAATTACTATGATCGTTTTACTCATTGTGAACCCTTTCACAGTGAGAAAACCTCTAGCCAAAGCAGGGAATTCCATCAATCCAAAAGGATTCCAACCTAAGGGTCAGGGTAAGGTCTCAGAGATACATAATTCCACAGGTACCCACCGAGAAGCAGGCGTCAGGGTCGATCTGGTACTTGGCTGCTATTCCGAAGCGAGTGTTACTGTTTCCTGCTGTCCAGGCCAGATTAACAGCAGTCTCCAACTTCTTATTCACCTTCTGATAAATGGAGCCACCAAACTCTGTCCCATCATTTCTGCAAATAAGCACAGCACAGATGCCAAGCAGCCCAGGAAGGCGACCTGAGCTGGGCAGAGCTGACCAAGACTAACAGAGAACAAGCATGTTGTAAATGGACTCAACTGATCACAAAACAGGCACCAAATTACGGCAAGCCTGATAGGAATGGCACAGACGCCAGGGTCAGGAAGGTTCAGAGGAAGGGAAAGGCTATCTCAGCCATCACTGGGAACACCCAGAGGCAGCTCAGTCAACTACTCAGGCTGCGTGGAACTTGAAGTTTGCTTCTACATTAATCTTTAAAATAAAAGCAGTAACTAGGGCACTGGGATTCTGGATTCTGAGTGATTTCTTTCTTCTGCTGCTAAGGTTATTACTTTTATAAAGGCTCTATTATAAAAATGGAAAGAGAGAACAAAGCCAGAAATGGCAAGAAAGTCTGGGCCACTCATGTTCCTTAGAAGGCAGCTTATAACCCTTAGCACCAGCACCCTTAGCACCCTTAGCTGCATCCACTGCTGAGGGTGCACAGCCAGAACTGACCCAGGCCCTAGGAGGAACAGCAATTACAAGAGAGCTTAATCTATTATTCAGACTTGTTGGCCTATGCATACTATTGGCCCATGCTGCAACATCTATGGTCCTGGTGAGATTTGAAAAGGAGCAACTTGCTACATTACAAAATGTTTCTGTCTTTCAAAAATGCAATGAAACCCAGCAAGCCAAACTCCTTCCTCTCTTCCAAACACACCATATTGACCGCAGCCTCTGGGAATATCCCCTTCCCCACCCTAACATTTTTAACATAAAAATACAACATCAGGGGACTTCCCTGGTGGCGCAGTGGTTAAGAATCCACCTGCCAATGCAGGGGACACGGGTTCGAGCCCTGGTCCAGGAAGATCCCACATGCCACAGAGCAACTAAGCCCATGCGCCACAACTACTGAGCCTGCACTCTAGAGCCCGCGAGCCACAACTACTGAGCCCATGTGCCACAACTACTGAAGCCCACACGCCTAGAGCCCGTGCTGCACAACAAGAGAAGCCACCGCAATGAGAAGCATGCGCACCGCAACAAAGAGTAGCCCCTGCTCACCGCAACTAGAGAAAGACAGCGTGCAGCAACGAAGATCCAACGCAGCCAAAAATAAACAAAGAAAACAAAGAAATTAAAAAAAAAATACAATGTCAAAGTTCTGCCTCATCATTCTGGGTGTCTCCAGTGGAAATAGCACTGGAAACTATTAAGGCAGGTCCCATACGCATTGGAATCCAGCAAAGAGCTTAGAACTTGCTAACCCATGAATAAATTGTTGCTGTTTCATTGCAAACTCTGCTCTTCACTAATATACTCTCCCTAAAGTAGATGCTCATTAAATACATCCTAAATTCTTAAGTTTTCCCTGAAATTCAGCCAGACACTGTGCTTCCAGAAAGTACAGGAAGAGCATAGACACCACCTGATTCACAGAGAATCCTGACTTCTTCAGAAAGTCTTGAGCATGCTACAAAACAGCAGCTTGTCAAAAATAATAGATCTTAACTCAAATGGGGAAATTTCCTTGGGCTTAAATGTGTTTAAACATTAGATTTTTCAATACACTCTAAAACCAGCAACACTGCCTTCCTGTACTGAACTCTTAAAACCATAAAAGAACTCGTTGTAAAAAAAATCATCTAGGGGGCTTCCCTGGTGGCGCAGTGGTTGAGAGTCCGCCTGCCGATGCAGGGGATACAGGTTCGTGCCCCGGTCTGGGAAGATTTCACATGCCGCGGAGTGGCTGGGCCCGTGAGCCATGGCCACTGAGCCTGCGCGTCCAGAGCCTGTGCTCCTTAATGGGAGAGGCCACAACAGTGAGAGGCCTGCGTACCGCAAAAAAACAAAAACAAACAAAAATCATCTAGGGCTTCCTGGTGGTGCAGTGGTTAAGAATCCACCTGCCAATGGAGGGGATACAGGTTTGAGTCCTGGTCCAGGAAGATCCCACATGCCGTGGAGCAACTAAGCCCATGCACCACAACTACTGAGCCTGTGCACTAGAGCCCGTGAGCCACAACTACCGGAGCCCACGCGCCACAACTACTGAAGCCCACGCACCTACAGCCTGTGCTCTGCCACAAGAGAAGCCGCAGCAATGAGAAGCCCGCGCACCACAATGAAGAGTAGCCCTCCCTCGCCGCAACTAGAGAAAGCCTGCGCACAGCAACGAAGACCCAACGCAGCCAAAAATTAATTAATTAATTTGTTTTTAAAAAGCCATCTAGGGCTTCCCTGGTGGCGCAGTGGTTGAGAGTCCGCCTGCCGATGCAGGGAACGCGGGTTCGTGCCCTGGTCTGGGAAGATCCCACATGCCGCGGAGCGGCTGGGCCCGTGAGCCATGGCCGCGGAGCCTGCGCATCCGGAGCCTGTGCTCTGCAACGGGAGAGGCCACAACAGTGAGAGGCCCGCGTACCGCCAAAACAAAAACAAAAACCAAAACAAAAGAGCCATCTACGTGAAGCACACAGAACACCTGTTACACACCTGGGCCTCTGCAAGACCAGGGCAACCCAGATTAGCTGTGTCAGCTGTTTCCACGCCAGTTCCAAAAATAAACCATGTCCACTTATTAAAAAGCTTGAAACTCAGGTAAGTAAAACCTAAAAGTCATTGCTCTTCCTGAAACTGGTGCAAGTTCCCAATTCCAAACCAAGGAAGCACTTTCCATGTCAGCCAAAATTTTAAATTAAAAAACACTTCGATGCATGTGATATTTTTCCTATGGCTTTTTTGCATGTTACCTTTTTTAAATTTACGTATCTTTTTTGACCTTTTTCAGTATACATTTCTATGAATTTTAATACAGACTCCTGTAGCCAGGATACGGAACAGTACCACTACCAAACTCCCCTGTGCCACCCCTTCAAAGTGACACCCTCCGTGTTCCCCTCCCCCTACCACTGGGCTGTCCATCTCCATAGTTTTCTTGTGACTTTTTTAGTTTTAAAAGACTCAAAAAAAATAAAAAAAAAGTTCTGATCACAAGAAAAAAAATTTGGGTTTCCCTGGTGGCGCAGTGGTTGAGAGTCCGCCTGCCGATGCAGGGGACACGGGTTCGTGCCCCGGTCCGGGAAGATCCCACATGCCACAGAGCGGCTGGGCCCGTGAGCCATGGCCGCTTAGCCTGCGCATCTGGAGCCTGTGCTCTGCAATGGGAGAGGCCACAACAGTGAGAAGCCCGTGTACCACAAAAAAAAATAAAATAAATGACTCAAATTTTATTAATTTATTATATTAATGTATTATATTAATTTATTAATTATAAAAATTCCTCAAATTTTTTTATTATGGAAATGTTACTAGTTTAGACCCAAATACCATTTACTTGTCTCTAAATTTTATAAGTCACTTCTTTAGTGACCTCTAGTGGAAAGAGAGAAATTTGGCAAATTTGTACCCAACTTGCACCATGCATTAGTTCTTCATGTCTACAGAGATTTCATGGATGAAATCTGTTTCCCTTAAATCTAAATCAGCACTCTGCTTCAACCCTCAAGTTTGATTACAAAGGGCTCTCTCTAACCTACCCTGTAATTTCCTCTTCCCTTCCTGATACTGTCCAGTTAATAAACTTTTAAATGTTCTGCCATGTAGAGAAGACACTCAGTATTTAACTGAGATAATCAACTCCTAATTTGGCTCCCATGCCTACATTTCATTAAAGCACAGCAAGCTGGTCCTCAGGCAGTATACAGAGAAAGAGAGCTACACCTCCTCACCCCCATTTTGTTAACTAAAATGAAAGGCCCTCCAACGTCCATAAAGCTGCAGGGAAGGGACATTCCTGTGGACTGACATCATGCCCTTGCCGTAAGTGGTCAGCCATTCTGTGTGTACCAGGGACAACATTTATTGTTCACAGAATAGTAAGAAACTACATCACTTCAGGAAACGGGTAGGTGGGAAACAAGAACAATACTAGCAGGCCATTTGGCTCATCTGATTCCAACAAACTCACTTCCCAGGGATTAAAAATTAAGCTTAGAAAAAAATCATGGTAAACAATCCCCCGACTGCACACACTCACATACACTTACACATTAGTGTGAAGCTGGAACTCATCAGTCTTGTAGCCAACTGCAAAGTTGCTCTGGGTCACTCGAGACTTTGCGGTCTCAAAATTCATCTGGTAGCCAGCCAGCCAGCCCTCGTAACCCAGCACCAGAGCACCCCGGATGGAAGGCCCAGCAATGTCGAAATCCATGTCACAGCCCAGGTTGATATGTTCCCGCTTGTACCCTGTCTTGATTTTAGCATTTTTTTTCCTGGAGGAAAAGAAATTGTATTAAAATCAGAAGCTAAATCATCTTGCAACAAGCATGCCAAGAGACACAAATTTAAAAAAATAATAATCCTCGTTTGAATAGGAGGGTAGGAAGGCAAAGTTAGGGCCCCAGATCTCCCTTAAGCAACTTCTGTACCACAATGGGCAGAACACAACCTCTCTTCAACTGGAATCCAGAATAATGAAGAAACACCACCATAATGAAGCGAGAACACAGGCAAGAAAAGCTGGAAAAAGAAGCACTAAGTAATTTTTACTATCCTCTCCCTATGCTTAATACAGTGGCCTACACAGGCATTCATTATGCAGAGCACCACCATGTAATTATGAAACAGATGCATCTTTGCTATATTTTCCAAGTCTGTGGATAAGATACATCTGTCATGAAGGCAGCTATCTAAACAGCAGCTTTTAATGAGATGGTCATCTTCTTACTCTGTGGCTCACTTAGTAAAGAAACATATACTAATTCCCTTCTAAGTAAATACAACAGTTAGACAGTTTTTAATTCAGTATCCATGAGATCCCAATGAATATATATTTCAGAGAACTGGATAGCGAGGTAGAAGCTGGGGCCCTGCAGTCACAGGGGGCCAGGAAGCCCTGGTGGACTGGACAAGATCCCAGGTCTAGTCTGCTGATCCCAGATTTGCGTATACGGCCAGACAGCACCTCCCTTGACTACTACTCAAGACCCAGCATTTCTCAGGAAAGGCAGGTGAGTCATGTCACCTGCAAATATATTATCACAATGACTTTTACCAAAAGTCAGCATTAGAGACAAGATCACATCTATCAAATAAAATTTAGACTATTTTCACCTGATTGTTTCTGTCATTCAGCTGAAAATGGACATCTTCCACAGCGAGAAACATTCTCAGCAGAGACCACAGGAGAAACCAGATATGCTTCAAGGTTCAAGGACCACACAGCCCTGTCCAGCCCAGCTTCATTCACACTGAGATTAAAGCTTCATCCCCAGCACCCAAACTGGGGCCCCTAAATACCATTCCCTCCTAAAAGGAACCAGCACTCCTCAGAAAATTGCAGATTACAGGTTGGTGCAGGAAAGGTGCAAGATGAGCTTGAAGCATCTATCAAAGCTATCAAAGACTTTGAGGTTGGGGCAAAAGGACTTGAGAGCTAAGATGAAGAGGCTCCCACAGGGACTTCCCTGGTGGCCCAGCGGTTAAGACTCCATGCTCCCAATGCAGGGGGCGCAGGTTCGATCCCTGTTCAGGGAACTAGATCCCACATGCCACAACTAAGAGCTTGCATGCCGCAACTAAAAGATCCCGCGTGCTGCAACTAAGACCCAGCGCAGCCAAATAAATAAATATGTAAACATATTTAAAAAAAAAAAAAAACAGGCTCCCAAGGGCTTCAAATATGAGACAATATAAGCATCAAGAATAATATCAGCAGCGACTGAAGCATATCAAATGTTTAAATCTATGAACTCATAATGACACTCAAGACACACACATTGCATCTTTAGGGACTAGAGAATCAATCTGTTATTTTGAAAAGAGTAAATAAAAAAGGAATCAAACACGTATCCCACCTTTCCTATACTAACTATATCTCAAAATAACCAAAGATTTGATAAGTTTCTCTTTATAGAAATATTCCAGCTTAAAAATGAAGAAAGAAAGATAAAGGTAGAATTATCACCAATTTGTAACCCCTTATGAGTAGATCATGAATGGCACTAACATACAAAGAGAAAACCAGGCCTTCTGTGTGCACCCCTATGGAAGCAGATTTCGGCACCCCCCAAAATGGAATCTAAATGTGATGAAGCCTCTAGACTTAGCAATTCACAGGAAATGTGGGGGACAGGGGAGGGTAACAAGTTAAACAACACCACAGAATGCGAACAGCAAAGTTTACTCTATATAATTCTAGAAGACAAATGATCTAGTTTTAACAAATAAATTGCAAGGGGAAAAAAAACAGAAGAAGAACCTAAAAACTAAGATTTAGGAGCCATATGAAGCAATTTTTACAATTTTGCATGGACAATTTTTGATTCTCTAAAAACTTTTCATGAAATCATGTAAATTTGAAGAGACTAGGCTTGACAATATTAAGAAATTATGATTAATTTTCACAATGTAATGATACTGTGGTTATGCTCTTTTTTTAAAAGGAAACTTATTTAAAATATATACAGATGAAAGTATGTGATATCTGTTATTTACTTCAAAATAATCTGAGGGTAGGAGGGGTTGATTATGGATGTATAAATAAAACATGATTGGCCATGGGTTGATAATTACTAAAGCTGGGTGATGAGAACATGATGAAGGTATAATATACTTTTCTGTATTCGTTCGCATGTTTGAAATTTTCCATAATAAAAAATTTAAAGATTAAACACTCCAAGTTCCAATGAGTCAGAATTTCAGAGGTCATAGGTGAAAATAAAGTCAACACACTTCCCTAGGGACAAGGAAACTTACAACTTCTGTTCAACTTGCTTCTATGCATTTTTGCAAGCTTTGAAGGAAAGGAGTGACAATCAAACTAACTCTCAATAAGAAAAACTTAAAATAAACCTATTTTGGTCTGCCGGCTCTTTAGAGGAAGAAACCTGGGTTATGACCAAGTATCCAGTGGGCACCAAGCAGGGTAGGATGATTGATGAAAAAAACAGCTGCTCAGAGGCTGACATTTAGAAAGAAGGGGAAATCAAGACATGTAAAAATCAGGCATCTTTTAACCACTGAGTAAAATGCTGCTGCTGACACAAAATGTGACACCTGTACCAGGGCCTCTGCCCAGTGGTGTGCACAAGCCACACTGGACAGTTACAAAGTGCCTCCACATGCCACCCCACTGGATTCTGGCCAGAGGCACCAGGTCCCCAGGGAAAGGGCACTGGTGGGGCAGTGACTAGGTTTCTCTCCAGGCTTGGCTCTAAGGCAGCATTCTATACCTTTGGAGCTTTTCCTCTTTCAAATATTATTGGGATTTTTAAAAGCTATTTAAATAATGGTGCTAATTTGACAGCACCTGAGAGAGGTATACTCTTAATCTGTGGTTAACAAGCTGGCTTTATCTGTGGTAAGTACTCAGTGTGGGTGCCAGTCCCCTGATGAGGTCTGTCTGCAGCTTCATCCAAATGCGGTATATGCTTAGCTCCTTAAAGGAAGCCAAGATACTTTCCCAGGCTGTACGCCTCAGACACTTTGGAAAGTCAGCTTTCATTTCCAATCTCCATCGAGTCATCAAAACTTCCCTCAAATACCCAGTAGCGATGAGTACATCTTGTGCCCACAGTCTTAGTTTCTAAACACCATTCTTCAATAAAAGGAACAAAGGCTCCTCAGAGAAATAGCTGATAGCAGGACTAGGGAAGAACAAGTACACTTTCTGAAGAAGTGCTCCAAAACAATGACAGGGGCTTGTCAAAAGCACACAGGATGTCAACTTGAAGCCTCCCAATGGCCATAGCTGGGACAACATGAGTAACAAAATATAGTAATGGATTACAATCCATAGAATAAAATAAATTGTCCAAGAATCCGTACTGATACAGATAACTGATCAAATAAATAAAAGGTGGAGAAGAAAGAGCTCTTCCTTTCAGTAATATCCCAATTAATAAATGTAGAAGGAATGATGGGAATAGAAATTCACCATTTGTGGGACTTCCCTGGTGGAGCGGAGGTTAACAATCCGCCTGCCAAGGCAGTGGACACGGGTTCAAGCCCTGGTCCAGGAAGATCCCACATGCCACAGAGAAGCTAAGCTTGTGCACCACAGCTACTGAGCCTGCACTCTAGAGCCCGTGATCCACAACTATGGAGCCCGCGTGCCACAACTACTGAAGGCCACGTGCTGCAACTACTGAAGCCCACACACCTAGAGCCCATCCTCTGCAACAAAAGAAGCCACCTCAATAAGCCCCCTGACTCATTGCAACTAGAGAAAGCCTGCATGCAGCAACGAAGACCCAACACGGCCAAAACTAACATAAAAAAAAAAATTAAAAAGAAAAAAAGAAAGAAATTCACCATTTGCCAAACACAGTTGTTGCAGGCAAGAATCACCAATGGATGCTAATATTTGTGAGTCAAAGTATAAAAATTAGAATATTTGCATGGTCTCAAAGCATCTCCCCACAAGATACTTTTTAATTATAAAGAGAAAAAAAGTAACTTTACAGAGAAATCTGGCAAACGCCACTTTAATCAAGTGACCAAAGTAACGTCACCAGTAATGAGGCACATTGATATATTCCCCCTGATGTCATGCACCAAGATGGACAGAACACAACATCCTATCTACAGCTATCAAAAATAAATAACCTGGGGCTTCCCTGGTGGCACAGAGGTTAAGAGTCTGCCTGCCGATGCAGGGGACACGGGTTCGTGCCCCGCTCCGGGAAGATCCCACATGCCGCAGAGCAGCTGGGCCTGTGGGCCATGGCCGCTGAGCCTGCGTGTCCGGAGCCTGTGCTCCGCAACGGGAAAGGCCACAACAGTGAGAGGCCCACGTACCGCAAAAAAAAAAAAAAAACCTGAAAAATAAATAAATAAATAACCTGAGTTTAACAATGAGAAAACATCAGACAAATCCAAATCAAAGGATTCTACAAAATAATTGGCCAATCATCTTTGAAAGTGTCAGAGTCATGAAAAATAAAGACTTAAAGATGGTTGAGATGGTAAATTTTTATGTGTATTTTACCACAAATTTTATTTTTGGCCACACCACACAGCATGCAGGATCTTCCCCGACCAGGGATTGAACCTGTGCCCCCTGCACTGGGAGCATGCAGTTTTAACCACTGGACTGACTGCCAGGGAAGTCCCCACAATTTTTAAAAACTAAAAAAACTATGAAATGAAATTCAATACATGCCCTTGGCCTTGTCATCAGTGTGCAAAACAACCTTCCCAGGCCTAGGAGACCCACTGCTCTGAATGGAAAAAAACAAGAGTGTGTTCTAGAACAGACTGATTCCCTCTAGCCACTCTGAAAAGCACCAGGAGCTGAGGCAGATCTACATGCCCTCTTGCCTGCTGATGTGCCCAATAAACAGCAAGGCTAATCTGTCTGTGACTGGAGGGCCTAAGGCAGGAAAGTGCAGTCTCAGGAGCCACCTTGCAATTAAGCCCACACACTCTCAGTGTCCCTAGGTAGGAAGCTAGGGAAGAGGCGGCCCTCCAGCATGAAAAATGGGGCTGGCAACAGTGACCAACAGCCCTTGCTTCCAAACACGGCCTGCTGCCCTAGAGCCTTAGCCACTTACATTGTGAACAGCCTCACTCACATGGAATGGAGCATTACTGGACCAGAAATCCTGCAGCCTCCACAGCTGAGGCCAGGAGAACAATAACAAACAGCACAGAATGAATCTTAAATCTTACTATGAAACACCACTAAAGGTCCTTATGGAGAAAACAGATGATATTCTTACCCAGTGTTTGGTGAGAAGGATGAATCGAAGGTCAGCTTCAGGCCACGTGCAAGCTGAACAGAAAAGAAATTCACCAACAGGTTTAGTCACAAGACAGGCGGCCGATGTCACTTAACAAAACTGTGTCTTTTCACAAGTGACCGTTACCTGATCTTCCACAGTAATCTCCGTGCCTAGTGTGTTGTCAGTGTTCCATTTCTCCGTAAACGTCAGACCATATTCGGTCCATCTGTACTTGGTTTCCAGACTGCCCGTCACTTTGGTGGTCTCGGTGTTGGCTGAACCTGAGCTTGTAAATTCCTTTAAAGAAGAGAGTCACAGCCTGCGTGCCAGCACTTCATTCTGCATTGCTCCACCCCTAAATGCATTGTACTTTCCTTTATGCAAGAGGTGAGACCCTGAATGCGTGGGTGCAAAAGCTCATTCTATAATTCAGTTAGATATCTGAAGTACAGACGGAGTCTGCTAATTAAAGCAATCTCTCAGGGAATTCTTTATCAGGAGAAAGCTTCCTTCTTCCCCTGTAACTCTTTAGTCTGGACAGGAAGGCAATTCTCCTTCTGTCCTACCTCCAGGCTCGTACAGAGAAAAAGCTTTGACCTAAAGCTGACATTGCAGTAATTCTACCCAAAACTTCCTCCTTCCAACAATTCACAATCTAAAAGGGATTACTAAGATTTGGGGTTTTTTTTCAATAATTATGTGGTATGGAACACAGGTCAATTTTGAAATAAGAAACATGAGGAAAAATAAAATTGAGGCCTGCCCCATATTCCTATGAGTATTAACAGCTGCTGAATTGGGGACCTAGTCACATGGTTCCCCTGGACCACCCATGCCACAGAGGATGCAATGAATGTGACAACCACAAGCTGCCACAATCAGAAAAGTCCCTTTGTTTGCCACCCAGATGGAAGTTATTGATTATTTATTGATCTACAATAAATATCCATGCTCCATATAGGCAGACAACTTACCAGTCCATTCTCAGATTTTGTTTTCAAATCAAGTTTTATTAAGCCAAACCCTAAAGAAAGAACATGGTAACTGTTAATAGGTTAAATAACTAACTCAAGGGCAGCATCTCTGCCTCCCTTAGGTTGTTTAAAAATGAGATGAGTGCAGAGGGCACCGGTCTCCACTGCTGCCTGCCTCTCTGTGTGTGGAGCCCGGCTGCCATGGAACAGTGGCAGGCAGAACAGACACAGGCCCCACCTGCACTCCCAGTGGAGTCTGAGAAAAGGGTGCATGACAGCGTAAGCACATGCCTAAAGACGAGCTCCAAATTTAGAAGCCGCACTCCACTGCAGCAGCATCCACAGACCTGCTCCCGCCTAGGAGAGGAAACAAGAATGTCCACTTGTCTGCAGCAATTCACAAGCCTACCTATACTGGGTGCACAACCAAAACTGCTTCACTGGCCATAGAAGGCTTATCTTTTTTCCCGGACATGAAGTTTCTGAGAGCTGACTGACCCAAGTCTCTCAAAGTGTAATGGGTAAAATACCAAACATGCCAACCCAGTTTCTGAGCTGAAAGGCCGCTCCATGCAACACTCACCATAGCCCTTGGTAAAGACATCCCTGGCAGATTTGCCAAGATCAGCATACGTGGGAGGCACAGCCATCTTCTGCTATAATAAAAGAACCACCAGAATAAACACATTGGTAATTATGGATATTAGGTTTCCACCAATAAAAATCATCAGCACTGAGTTCCACGTACCTTATTCCCCCAGGTGTGGACAAAGAAGACTGTGCTATCTCCTGCTTCTTTCTGTGGCCAGAGCTTGAAACACCCAGTAAGTTTTTATTGACAGCAGACCAGCCTGACTTTGGACCTCTTCTCCTAGGTATCCCCAGGACTGAGCACAGGCCCAGAATATGGCAGGAGTCAGTCAATATTTTCTAAATGAATTCATTGGCAAAGACACAGTCCCATAAGCCAGCTACTTTACTGAACTGCAGGACTCTTGCCAATAAAACATATCTTCTTACAAAATATTGACTGCTAGGACATTAAATACACTGAAGAGAAATCAGAGCTTTTCATGGCAATGTATTTTCTATACAGCTCTGATTTCATTCATTCAACAAATATTTATGGAGTACCTACTATGTGTCAGAATGGACCCAACTTTTCACAAAACTTTTGCATTCTACGGGAACCCACTTTTAGAGTATCATATTCCTCATAGAGAAAACAGTAAAACCTACCTACCTAACTAGGCAATTCTTCACATGGAAGGAAATGCAACCACATCCCCCCCAAATTTAATTCAAATAAACATCTATTGAGCTTCAATGTGACTTGACTTTTAAAACCAACTATCAAAGTATTACTTGGGATTGATGCACATCACTAAGTCAGTCAACAAGCATTTATTAAACACCTCGCTGTTCAAGGAAGGCAAGAACTTCAAATAGTCCTTGCCCTAAGGACCACACTGTGCTGCTGGGAGGCTCTGCACTGATACATTATGTACACAGAATTAAAACCCTAATCCAGACGGCACACACTCTGTGCTCCACCCAGGAGGAGAGGGGAATGCGAGAAAGCACTATCTTCTGCATCTTCTCCATCTCCAAAATTGTTAGCCTCAGCCAGAAATTCAATTAACCCGAGAATGGTTCCATCCATTTTAAATACAGTATACCTAAATTACCAAACTGCATACACCTCACCTAAAGTCACATATAAATGTATTCACACAAATTAACACCCACATGGCATATTCCTGGTTAAATGGGAACCCAATGAAAAGTGGTGCAAGTGATCTCAGGGGAACAATATCACAACTGGAAGTTGCATCCTGACCAAAGCTTCAACTTCAAAGACATTGCAGGGAGCCCAAAAAACCAATGAGTATAATGTTAAAAAACTATAAACTTGCACAATTTTAAATTATAAAACTGTGGTCCTGGTCCTATTTTACTTTTTTCAGAGGTTTTGCTAATTCTGTCCCAGCTCCCTTTTGTGTCAGAGCAGAGAGGAGCAGCCCAGTAAGCTGTTTACGCGATCCTATTTTTGTTGCTGTTGTTATTGAATTTCTCACACATGATCAGGCCAGAACCATGGGCAACTCAGTCCCCATCAGGATCAGGGCATAAAGAACATGGTGGAAGACCCATTTCAGGCTGCTCCCACTGGCTCTTTCAAGGCTCTCTCCCCTCTCCCCTTCCACCCCAAATGAACACCATAGGCACACCCACCCCAGGGACAAACCAGGAAACCATCCACCAGGTCCTCCAGAAATACCCTCTGCCTTAGGCACACGCCCCAGCCACAGATGGGCCTGGGCCCCTCCCAGGAGAAGCAATGAAACAACCCTGGACTGAAGGCTGAGGTAACAGAGCCCCAAGGAAACGTGCAAAACATCTCAGCAAAGGGCCCAGAACATTCTCCACACACACACCAATTGCTAACAGTTATCAGTGGACAGAACACCCCTCTTCAGTGCTGTCCCCTTCTCAGCTGGGCCACAAACTCAGCCCCAGCTGGGTGACAGGGAGAGCAGTCCAGTGGCAATATCTCCAGGTCAGCTAAGACCTCCTGTACCTCAGAGGTCAGGGCCTTCCCAAGTACACTCCCCTGGCTCCAGGACCCGCCTCACCACACGTGGCACACGTGGCTTTCACGTCTGGACTGGTCCATCCCTCAGGAAAAAGTCAGAACACTCATCATTTAATGCTCCCCAAATGCCCCTGTTTATCCCTAATCCCCAAAACTGAAAAGCAAAGCCACCTGTCAAAACACACTCCACCCACAGCAAAAATCACCCTAAAGTGGCCACTGAGGAGATTACCATGCAAGGACAAGAGACGTGGGATGGCAGAGGGAGCTCACATAAGGCCAGGCTCTCCTTGCATCCCCAGCGCAGCAGCGGGCAGGGAAGATGCACAGGAGCCACGAGCTGACTGGAGCCAAACCCACACTCCTGGCCCTGAGGTAACACCCACCAAGGGGGGCAAGACGCTGACTCCCCTTCACCAAAGGCGGTGTGGCTATAGCTTCCCCTTTTGCTTTTCATGGAGTCTTCCTCTTTCCCCACCTCTCGTCTCCCGCTGCACTCATCTGACAGGACTGAAGCAGCTCTGCCTCTCTGAGAAGCTCAGCTTTGCTACAGCTGCAAACAGCACCCAGCACAGTTCTCAGCACCTGCTTCAAAAACAATTTTAATGTAGAAACAATGACTGCCATCCACGCTTTCTCAGGCCAGGACTAGATGGGGAGAGAAGTCAGCATTCTGCTTTCTCACTTAACACCCTGCCTGCACTGACCTGGAGACTGAACCCTGGTCCTGGCCCCTCTCGCCACCTCAATCAGCTCCAAATCACTCCCCATCTGTCTCTGCAGCATCCACCCTACATGTCTTCAGAAAAGGGAACCCTCATACACTGTTGGTGAGAATATAAACTGGTATAGCCACTACGGGAAACAGTATGGAGATTCCTCAAAAAATTAAGACTAGAACTATTATATGAGCCAGCAGTTCCACTTCTGGGTATTTATCTAAAGAATATGAAAACACTAATTCGCAAAGACATGTGAACTCCTATGCTCGTCACAGCATTGTTTACAATAGCCAAAAAATGGAAAAAACCTAAGAGACCACCAACAAATGAATGGATAATGAATGGATAATGGATAATATGGGATAATGCGCACGCGCACGCACGCACACACACACACACACACACACACACACACACAGTGGAATATTACTCAGCCATTAAAAAAAAGATGAAATCTGGCCATTTGTGACAACACGGATGGACCTTGAGGGTAATATGCTAAATGAAATAAATCAGACGGAGAAGACAAATTCCCTGTGATTTCACTCATATATGGAATATAAAAAAACAAAAAACAAAATAAATGAACAAACCAAAACAAACACATAGATACGGAGAACAGAATAGTGGTTACCAGAAAGGAAAAGGAGGGGAGAGGGTGGGAATGGGTAAAGGGATTGATACAGTGATGGATGGAAACTAAATTTTTGGTTGTGAGCACACTGTAGTGCACACAAAAGTAGAAATATAAGGTTGCATACATGAAACACAATGTTATAAACCAATGTTACCTCAATAAAAAAGGGAAAAGAAGAAACTCAGCTTCTAGAGGCTGAGCATGAAGCAGGGTATTCTGACAGCACTGTCTGTTTAATAAGTATATGCACAGTAAGCATCAAAGTATTTTTACAGTAGAAAAAAAAAGGAAACAGTATCCGACAATAGGGACTAAGTAAATGACAATGTAACCAGTAGGCAGGAGCTCCCTCTACAGGGAAACTGCGGCATCACCAGGGATGGGGGGGAAGACACACAACTAGCATGCCCCACGGTCACAATGGCCTAAGGAGAGCTGAACTCAAGCTGAGAAGACCAACCAAGCGCCTTCAGAAGAGAGTACTGCCACTTCTGACATCAGAACCAAGCACGGACTTTATTAAAAGGGCCTCAGAGAGCCACATTAGAAAGTCTGACACATCTGTGTTTGGGCAGCTCACTCAACCAATGGATTCGCAAAAATGTAAATGACAATATCTACTGTTGGCATGGAAAATGATCACTCCCATTCTCCCCAAGTAGGAATACTACGTACAGTACAGCCCCTGAGGAGCCCATTGGTGGGCAGTGCCTAAGTGAACACGCAGTAACTCTAGCGGCAATTCTACTGCTAGGAACACACTCACAGTGGTACCCAAGGCACCCAAAGATGTATACAGAAGGATACTCACTGCAGGGTTATTTTTAACACAAAACCCAGAAGCAACCTAAACGTCCACCAATAAGGAAACAAATGAATAAAAATTAAGGTGCTTGCAAACTAAGGGATACCATGTGGTAATCAAAAAGAATGAGGTGGATTTCTACGTGGTGGCATAGAAAGCGACCTATGATAATAGTTCAATGAAAAGAGCAAGCCACAGAAAATGTACAATTCCATGTGACTGGGGGAAAAACATTTTACATATGCATCTTTATATGTTCCACATTTGTGAATGGATGGAAAAGCATGTGAAAGGGAAGGACATGAGCTAACCTGTAAACTGTGGCTGCCTTGGAGCTGCTTCTAGAAAGGAAAGGGGGTTTAGGAAAGGAGTGAAGTTAAAATAGGATTTTCATTTTTGATTCTACTTAATCACTTAAGTTGTTTGTGTACTTGATAATTTTTTTTTAAACTAAGGACAGAAAATTTAAAAACCTAACGAATGTGTTCAAAATTAAGCCACACTGCATTCATGATGCCACAAGTCACATTCCAAAAGGCTACTGCAGCAGAGGTGCCAGAAGGGAAAACCATCCAAGTGTCTATACTGGTTCCAAGAACAGATTCAAATCACACCGAGGTGGCAGGGTTAACAGGTAAGGCCTGTGGGGGGCACATTCTACCCTCAGGTGACCATTGATGGCTTTGGCCACCCTGCCCAGAAGGTAGGAGTAGGGCAGAGCTCCCTAACTTCCGTGTGCATGAGAGTCGCCTGAGGCACTTTTTCAAAAGCCTCCTTCCTCCCTCTCAGTCTTTCATTGCCTATCGCACAGGCAGGGCAGCCCTCAGATGCCACGGAGAAGAGTGGGCTGGCTCCCCGCACCAAGCACCCCCCAGAACCCCCACTTTGAAGCATGC